GGCGCTTAAAGCGTTTCCTTGGTTTCTGCTGTAAACAAAGCAGCGCTGCACTTTATGAACTTTAATATGCATTATACAGAGGCAAGATGAAAAGAAGAAATACCATCTAAACTTTTCTAAAGACAGTAAGTTCCCCTCAGACATACATTCATATAAACTCCTACACTTAAATGAATTGCGATTTGTTTAGCATCTCAACCGATTTGAATCGTCACATATTTGAATCGATTTTCAACCGGCTCGCGGTTAATCGTTACATCCCTAATTATTTTTATATGATTTTTTTGTTTCAGAGGCTCATTGAACAAGTTGAACAGCGGTCTGACAAAATCCCAGAGTGAGTGATGGAGAATGTTTTGATTTATTATTTTCTGATAATTCTCATTTTTATGCATATACAGTGGAGTCCGAATGTCTGAGACATATATTTATGCATATATTTAAATTTTTTTTTTTTTTTTTTTTTCATTTAAATCATATAAAACAAAGAGAATTTTGGATCAGTCATATTTTAGTAATACTTCTGGATACTGTAATATTTTTTTTATTAATGTTTTAAATCCGTTTTTGTATTTATATTTTCCTTTTTTATATGTTCCTTGTTTTAGTAATTTTGTGTTTTTGGTCATTTTTAGTGGTTCATATATACATACATACACGTGTATATATATGTATGTGTGTGTGTGTCAATATAGTTTTCATTTTTATATAATGTTTAGGTTTTTTTTTTTTAAATTAAACAAAATTAAAATCACAGATGTTGCTAATGTAGCTAAAATAATTATTTTTTTAATATTTAAATTTATTTTGGTTATTTATTTTAAGTAAAGTTTTTTTTTAATTTTTTTTAATGGTTTTAATTTTAGTTTCAGTTTTAGTTAACTATAATAACCCTGTTTTGGATCTTCTTGTTTCCAATCTTGTCATAAAACCAGGGTGAGTAAATAAATTCATTGCAGGTTAAAGACAGTTCACCTAAACATGAAAACTCTTTTCATTTACCACTGTATTGTTCTGACCCGAAATGATATTCTTCACTCCATGAAACACAACAGAAATTTGACAGAATAGTATTTATTTATTTGTTTATTTTTATTTATTTTTTTATTCTTATTAATGTATTTTATTTATTTTTAATAATCCATTTATTATATTTTTTAGTTTATTTTTGTATTTATTTATTTGTAAATTGTTTAGTCATAATTTTTATTTATTTATTTTATGTAATTTTCATTGATTTTATTTTATATATTTGACTTTTTATTTTATTTTTATATTTATTCATTTTTAAGTTTATTTATTTATTTTTATTGATTTATAACTATTCCCTTTTCTGTTTTTATTTGTTATTTTTTATTTATTTGTATTTAATTAATTAATTTGTTTAAATTTTTTTATTCACTTATTTTATTTTTGTATTTATTTGTAATTTTGTTTATTTATATTTTTTATTTATTTAATTTATTTGAATTTATTTTATTAATTTATTTTATTTTTGTATTTATTTATTTGTAATTTTAGTCATAATTTTTATTTATTTATTTTATGTAATTTTCATTGATTTTATTTTATATATTTGACTTTTTTATTTTTGTATTTATTTATTTTTAAGTTTATATATTTATTTTTATTGATTTATAACTATTCCCTTTTCTGTTTTTATTTGTTATTTTTTATTTATTTGTATTTAATTAATTAATTTGTTTAAATTTTTTTATTCACTTATTTTATTTTTGTATTTATTTGTAATTTTGTTTATTTATATTTTTTATTTATTTAATTTATTTGAATTTATTTTATTAATTTATTTTATTTTTGTATTTATTTATTTGTAATTTTAGTCATAATTTTTATTTATTTATTTTATGTAATTTTCATTGATTTTATTTTATATATATTTTTGATTTATTTATAACTATTCCCTTTTCTGTTTTTATTTGTATTTATTAATTTATTTGTTTTAATTTTGTATTCAGTTATTTTATTTTTGTATTTATTTTTAATTTAGTTAATTTATCATTTTTATTTATTAATTTATTTTCATTTATTTTATTAATTTAGTTTATTTTTGTATTTGTTTATTTTTTATTTAATGTAATTTATATATTTTATTTTTGTATTTATTTATTTGTAATTTAGTTTGTTTGTTTATTTGGATGGTCGTGAATCATGCTGCTTAGAAACAAACTGATGTAATGTGAGTGTTCCTGCCTGTGAAGCATGACCGTGTGTGTGTGTGTGTGTGTGTGTGTGTCAGGTATCAGCAGCTGCTGGATGAGATTCATCAGTGTTATCTGGAGCAGAGGGAAGTCCTGCTCAGTCCCTGTATAAACGCCACCATCACAGATCTCACCAGCCAGAACAACAAGGATCACTGCGCTCTGGTGAGGGAACTAAGCGTACAGTAGAAGTATTTACTTCCACACATCATGTGCTGACTTTTGTAAGTGTGTTGTATTTGTTCCTGTTATTTACAACGGATGATGGTGTTTAAATGAACACCGACTTGTTTCTTTTAATTGGCCGAGTGATTTTCATAGAGGGGAAATTTGTTTGTTTGCTTGAGCATTTTGCAACTTGGAGGTTTTAGGAAAACAATGCACCTACATAGACATAATTAGTTATTCAATTTGGTATTTTTTGATTTCCTTCGCTTTGTGTTTGTCAAAAGTTGTTGAAAGTGCAGAATGACCGTTTTTGCATGTTTTGTTTTTGTCGTGTTTTGACTGAAAGTGTGTCACAGACGCTCGCTCTGAGTGTGTTTGTGACGCGCAGCTGCTGTTGTTTCAGGTGCGCAGCGGCTGTGCGTTTATGGTCCATGTGTGTCAAGACGAGCACCAGCTTTACAGCGAGTTCTTCTCCAAACCCTCGTCCAAACTGGAGTGAGTAAAGAAACTCGTTTCAGATGAAAACAATCGTTCACACAAACATGAAAACTCTCATCATGTACGGTCGTGTTGCTGAGACCCGCAGTTATTTTCTTTACTCCATGAAGCACAATGTGTTAGACAGAGAAATATTATTTATTTATTTACAATTAATTAATTAATTTTGAATTTTATTTATTTTTATTTATTTATAATCAATTAATTTAGAATGGTATTTTATTTGTTTTATTTTATTTTGTATTTAGTTTTTTAGTTTGTTATTTTTTATTTTTGTAGTTTTTTATTTTGTTTGTTATTCGTTTAAATTATTATTTATTTTTTTAATCATTTATTTATTTTTCTTTATCTATCTATCTGTCTATTTATTTATTTATTTAGTTTTTTTTGGAGCCTGGCAAGTTACATCTTTCTTTCTTTCTTTCTTTCTTTCTTTCTTTCTGTCTTTCTTTCTTTCTTTCTTTCTGTCTTTCCTCCCTTCTTCCCTCCCTCCTTTCTTTCTTTTTCTTTCTTTCTTTCTCCCTCCCTCTCTCGTTCTTTCTTCCTTCCTTTTATCCTATTTTCTGTTTTACTGAAGAAAGAAATGGTTTGTTTTCTATTTTTCAGCAATAGTCGTCAACAATTAGGCTCAGATTTTAAATGGTGTCAGAATCAAGCTGGATCATTTTGCTTTTCAATATGTTTATGTTGTAATTGTAGCGATGTGCTTTGATGTATTTGTGACAGTGAGCTTCTGGAGAAGCTCTGCGTGTCTCTGTATGACGTCTTGAGGCCTCTGATCATCCACGTGGTTCATCTGGAGACGCTGTCGGAGCTCTGCAGCATCCTGAAGAACGAGATGCTGGAGGATCACGTCCAAAACAACGGTACCAAACCCTGTGTCCTCCACAGCCGTCTGTTTCTAATGAAGGGTTTGTTTGTGAAGTGACGTGTGATCGGTGGGTTTGTCTCAGAGGTGCAGCTGACTGCGTTTGACGCCGTGGTGAAGCAGATGCTGGAGGACGTTCAGGAGCGTTTGGTCTACAGGACACACATCTACATCCAGACAGACATCAGCGGATACAAGCCTGCGCCGGGAGACCTGGCCTACCCCGACAAACTCCAGATGATGGAGGTCAGCAAACTGAGCACTTAACATCTGAACATTTCTTTCAGAAATCTGAAATGTCTTTAGTCCAGACATGCTGGTGACTCTCTGGTAAGAGTTAACTAAACTTAAAGGCACAATATGTAATTTTCGCCGCCAGAGGGCGCGTATTCAAAATAAACAAATAGACAAAGGCGTAGTTTGATGACGGCGTGACTGAGTGTGGAATCATGGGAGTTGTGGTCTTCATCCCCACAGCCGATGCAATCCGACGGGACTCGGGCAGAAATCATGTTCATGGATGAGCTAATGATTTATTAACGTAGTAGAATGAAGCAGGGTGAGGCTGAAAGCCGTCGAACAGTTTCTCCCGCAGATCTTCATGGCATGTGGTATCCCACCGTCAGACGGACGCTCGTGTGTCTCTCCAAACTCTACCGCTGCATAGACGTCAGTGTAACACACCACCATCAATCATCATCACCGCTGCATGATTAATCATTACAGTATTCATTAACAATTATGTTAATTTAATAATTACAATTTATGAATGCAAAAATACCTATCTGTAGTTCCGCAATGGCGCTGTTTTAATAATGAATATGTATTAAGAATATTCAATGATTTAGGATCAGATTTATCTGATCTTAAATCTAAATCTAAATTAAATCTTAATGCTGATAGAGCACCCAACATCTTTTATTCACCCAAGGATTATTATAGTTAACTAAAACTGTATGAAAAAAAGAAAAATGTAAATGTAAAACTAAAACCATAAAAAAACATTTGCTTTTTGAAATAAAATAAACAGTAAATGAAATAAAATATAATAAAATAAATAATAAAAATCGAATTCAGCTAGTTGTCAAGGCAAAATTCAAAAAGTTGAATCACTAAAATAATGAAAATTAAATAATCTAAAACTATGAAATAAAAATTAATACTATATAGACATATTTACAGAAACAAAAGCTAATAAAAATGACAAAAACAACAAAATTATTAACTTTAAAATGAAAACAGAAAATATAAAAATAAAAGTAATTCAAAGTCAGGGTTATTATAGTTAACTAAAACTGAAACTAGAGCTAAAACCATAAGAAATATATGTTACTTGACATAAAATAAAATATTAAATACATTTTTATTTCAGCTAGTTGTCAAGGCAACATTTCTCATTTTTGTTTATTTTAACTTGAAGTACTAAATAATCTAAAACTAATAAGTGAAAATAACTATATAGACATAATTAAACAAAAAGTGATACAAATGACAAAAACAACAAAATTACTAAAACTTTAACGAAAATGAATACAGAAAATGTAGAAATAAAATCTAATTCAAAATATTAACAAAATGAAATAGTATATCAATGTTTATAAAGTATCACTGACTCATCCTCATGTATGACTGATTGACTTCTGTGGAGCGCAAAAGCTGATTATTGTTATTATTAGAATTGTATTAACTAGCGGTTATGATATTTTCAAAACTTCACCTTGTGAAAGACAGAAGATAATGCAGGGGAGCCAAACTCAGTTCCTGGAGCGCCGGAGCCCTGCAGAGTTTAGTTCCAACCCTGCTTTAACACACACCATGTAGTTTTCAAATAAGCCTGAAGGACTTGATTGGTTGGATCGGGTGTGTTTATTTGGGTTGAATCTAAACTCTGCAGGGCCCCGGGCCTCCAGGAACTGAGTTTGACTCCCCTGAGATAGGCTTGCCGTGATAGACGGTGCTGACGGTGATAAGCCGCAACACCGGTTCCGTCACTTGCCCACCGCGTCACCGACCCCCACCGTCATTTTTATTTTTTATAGAAATAAAGATCATTTAGTTCAGTAAAAGAACAGACACTACAATTAAAAACTGAACGCGGCTACTCAATGCAGCGTGCCGAACGACAGTCGCATCACAGATCAGATTTCATTTCTCCAGTGAGGAGAGTGAGTCGAGCTGACTGACAAGAAGAGTGAGGTGAGACAGACAAGAAGAGTGAGGTGAGACAGACAAGAAGAGTGAGGTGAGACAGACAAGAAGAGTGAGGTGAGACAGACAAGAAGAGTGAGGTGAGACAGACAAGAAGAGTGAGGTGAGACAGACAAGAAGAGTGAGGTGAGACAGACAAGAAGAGTGAGGTGAGACAGACAAGAAGAGTGAGGAGAGACAGACAAGAAGAGTGAGGTGAGACAGACAAGAAGAGTGAGGAGAGACAGACAAGAAGAGTGAGGTGAGACAGACAAGAAGAGTGAGGAGAGACAGACAAGAAGAGTGAGGTGAGACAGAAAAGAAGAGTGACTAATTCGAAAGTGAAAGTAAAATGCGCACGGCGCTTTTAAGCTATTTAAAACCGAGGAAAAGAGGGAAAATTCAAACGAACAATTGCTTTACGCCGAATTGCTGCTATTTGAAAGTGAAAGTAAAATGCGCACGCCGCTTTTACAAGCTATTTAAAAGCGGAGGAAAAGAGGGAACGCCCCGCCCCCACGGTGAAACCGGTATTATCGGTGTTGTCACACGTCGATTAACTGATGGGAAATTTCCTCACCGTCACAACCTTACCCTGAGATAATTAGTGGTTTGAGTGTCAGAGTGAGTGAATGAGGAGTGTGTTTGTTTTGTCTGTGTCCTGTAGAGGGCGGTGTTTCAGGGTCTGTCACAGGAAGCTCTGTCTGCCTGCATCCAGTCTCTCCTCACAGCCTCTGATCTCATTCAGAAGAACAAGGTGAGGCATTTATGCACCTGAATACAGGACAATCAGTCAGAAATAAGAAATTCACTCCGCTATTGTAAATGACCCAGAATCATTTTTTATTGCTATTCATTTATTTCTGTTTATTCTTTTATTTGTTATTAATTAATTAATTTTGTTTTTATTTATTTTTATTAATATTTATGTATCCTTTTATTTTTAATTAATTAATTTTGTTTTTATTTATTTGTATTAATATTTATGTATCTATTTATTTGTAATTAATTAATTAATTTTGTTTTTATTTATTTTTATTAATTAATATGTATCTATTTATTTGTTCATTTATACTGAGAAATTCACTTCGCTATTGTAAATGACCTAGAATAATTTTTTTATTGCTATTCATTTATTTCTGTTTATTCTTTTATTTTTAATTAATTAATTTTGTTTTTATTAATTTTTATTAATATTTATGTATCCTTTTATTTTTAATTAATTAATTTTGTTTTTATTTATTTGTATTAATATTTATGTATCTATTTATTTGTAATTAATTAATTAATTTTGTTTTTATTTATTTTTATTAATATTTATGCATCTATTTATTTGTTTATTTATACTGAGAAATTCACTCCACTATTGTAAATGACCCAGAAATTTTTTTTATTAATTTATTTCTATTATTTTTTTTATTTTTTAATAATTTATTACATTTATATTTGTTTTTATTTATTTGTCTGTTTGTTTGTGCTGAGAAATTCACTCCACTATTCTAAATGACCCAGAAACAATTTATTTATTGTTTTCATTTATTTCTATTAATTATTTTATTTTTTAATTAATTAATTAATCAATCAATCCTGAGAAATTCATTCCAATATTGTAAATGACACCGAAAATATTTATTTTTATTCGCTTATTTCTATTAATTGTTATTTTTAGTTAATGTATTAATTTTACATTTATATTTAATTTATTTTTATTTAATTTATTTGTTTGTTTGTCCTGAGAAATTAATTCCACTATTGTAAATGACCCAGAAACAATGTATTAAATTTGGTCATTTATTTCTATAATTATTTTAGTTTTAATACATTTCTATCTATCTATCTATCAGAACAGAGATTTTTTTAAATATTGTATGTATTTTTTGGTATATTATCTGTAAAAAAAACACAGGATTCCTATAGACTTGCATGCGAAGCTTTGTGTGAAACCGAAACGCTGGCTGAGGCAGGATTGGTCAGTAATGTTTTAGTGAAGGTTTATTTCCAGAGTTACTTTCTTCACAGACTCAAACTGACGGGCAGCTCTTCCTCATCAAGCATCTCCTGATCATGCGCGAGCAGATCGCCCCGTTCCACGCCGACTTCACCATTAAAGAGATCTCTCTGGATCTGAAGAAGACCAGAGGTAACAGCCATGCTTTTGTGAGGTTTGGGTACATCTCAATGGCTCTTGGTCTTTGTTTTAGATGTTCACAGTGCTGACAGAATGACCGGTGCATTAAAGGTATATTTAATACATATACATATAAATTCGTGTTTTTCAGCATTTTACATTGGCAAAAATTAATGTTTTTTTGGGTAACTTGTTTAATGTCAAATCAACCAGATTTCAGACTTAATTTTTTCTGAAGAAAGGCAAACATAAATAATGCTAATTGTGATTAAATGGTGATTTAAAAAACAAAAAACAAAACAAAGTATCAGCTGTATGCAAAGTGAACCACATTTGGTTTTTGAGCACTGGTTTCAGGTTTCAGTTTACTCATGGAGCCACATCAAGATCCCCATATCTCTGGAACTGAACCATATCGGGGCTTAAAAATGAAGATACCAAAATAAAAGTTTGTTAAGAGCCAGTATCTAAAAGGATATAAAGATGTCTTTAATACATCTTGAGTTACAAGCATGCAAACTTTGGAAAAAGAAAAGAAAAAAGTACTTTTTCCCATTTTTGAATGATCACCATTGGCATATAATGCAACAAAGATTGCAAAAGTCAGCAGATTTTACTAATAGAGCTACCGATCTCTATGTAAAAATAACATCATGATGCTGCCATCTTTCTAAAATCATTTACAAAGCCTGTAATTTGGCTCCAAATCTCAGGTCAAATCTCATCACTTCTCTACAAAATATTCATGGCCATATTAAGATCCCCATATCTCTGCAAATGAACCATATTGGGGCTTAAAAATTAAGATACTAAAAGAAAAGTTTGTTAAGAATCAGAAACTGAAAGAATATTGAGATGTCTTTTAATACTTCTTGAGTTACAAGCATGCAAACTTTGGGGAAAAATACACAAAAAGTGCTTTTTGCCACTTTTGAACGTTCACTATTGGCATATAATGCAGCAAAGATTGCAAAAGTCAGCAGATTTTACTTATAGAGCTACTAATCTCTGTCTAAAAATAACATCATGATGCTGCCATCTTTCTAAAGTCATTTACAAAGCCTGCAATTTGGGGTGAAAATTGTATTTTTTGACCCAAATTGCTGAAATGTGATGTCAGACTTTTGAAAACCAAGTAGAGGAAGTTATATTTGAAAAACCCAGGATGTCCTCTTTTAAATACAGGATTAAAATTCATTAAAATAACCCAATTAATTGCATATTAAAGCAATAAGCCCCAAGAAGCCGTGGTTTACAGTGAATTAAACCACGGCTTGACGGGGCTTATTGTTTTTTATAAAAACGGCTATTCCATATACGTAGTAAGGTAACAGAGCAAATAAAGTGTAATGATATTAATAAAAACAGTATTCTTTCCCCAAACAATGTAGTTCCTCAGAATCAGTTGTGGTTGCAACAAAGTGGTTGCCGAGCAACACACAAATGTAAACAAAGGTGTATGTTTGTAGAGTAATTTAGAACAGCTTCAAACGTGGCTCAGCCAATCAGAATCAAGGACCGGAACTCTCGGTTTTATAATGGAAGTTTGTGAATGAGCAGCAGTGTGTAATGACTGTGACCTGATGAAATGTTTGTGTAATATCAATAAAGCGCCACCAGAGGGCAGAACAACATTTGCTTTTCTCCGTCCTCAGACGCTGCTTTTAAAATCTTCAACCCCAAGGCTGTGCCCAAGTTCTTCCGTCTGAACAGCCATAACGCTATCCTTGAGTTCCTACTGGAGGTAATGTAGCTTTATTTATTTATTCATTCCATTTGGTGGGTCTTTTCTGCTCTTCAAAGTCTCAGACCCTCACACCTGACTCCCGATCCATAGTGAATGATTAACGATTCATCATAAGCTAATGCTTTCACACCAGAGTACGCCGGAGATAAGAGAGCACTACATCGACTCGAAGAAAGACGTGGACCGGCACCTGAAGTCCAGCTGTGAGCAGTTCATACAGCAGCAGACGCACATGTTTGTGGGAAACCTGGAGGAGTTTCTCACCAAGGTCAGGATTCACTGGGAAATTCTCACTCTGCAGAGCATTATGGGTCGGCAACACTGCTGGGTAGTAACCCATTACATGTAATCTGGATTACGTAATCCGATTGCAAAAATTTAATACTTGTAATGTTTTAAAATACTTGTAATCAGACTATGATTACATATTGTTCACATGGTCACAGGCAGGTAAATGGGTATAATATGTGTTTTATTTTGATGGAAAGATTTGGTAACACTTTCTATGAAGCCCATTTGTATAACACATTATAAGAGTATTCTTAAGGCATTATAATGAATGCATAATGCATTATAAAAAAAACGTATAATATGGGCTTCATAGAAAGTGTTACCAAAGATTTATTTTAATTTTACATTTAAGTTTTAATTTTTTATTTAATTTATTATTAGCTTTTCATTAAACTCGCAAACCCCAGTTTGGGAAGGTTTGACGTAATGTAATGTTTAATGCACTTCATGTTTTTAGAAAAAAAATTTTTTGTCTCTTTGTATTTTCAAATCAATATGGTACAAGATTATCCTACTTAAATCAATGTGATAAACGGGTTTTTGTCAAAAAAATTTATTGTATGTATATAAATGTATTTTTATGTTATACATTATTAGGGCTGGGTATCGTTCAAAAATTTTCGATACCGATACCTTGACTTCGATACCGGTTCCTGAACGATACTTTTTTCGATACCAATTTTATGAAATCAAGATTACATTATCTAAAAAAAAAAACTTGGCTTAATTTTTTTTAGCTTGTTGATGTTTATACAAACTCAAAGACTCATCTCCTGAGCCACTGCACAAAGGAACAAAATGTAGGCTAACCAACACAATAAATGCAAAATAAGTGCAAATAGTTTTAATAAAACTCAAATAGTCTTCAGTTTACACATCTGTTAGGCTACATTTACACTAGTTAAAGTAACAAGTTAATGGCAAGATATGAGATTTATAATACATTATAACTATGGGAAATATAATCCATTGTAAGTGGATGCATTGTGTTCATTGTGTATTATAAATCATTATACTCTTAAAAGCTGTAACCATAAATAAGTAAATATTGTAATGCATTAAAACTGTTGTTATGATTACTCATGAGATGATACAACATATACGTTTTTTTATAATACATTATGCATTCATTATAATGCTTTTAAGAATACTCTTATAATGCATTATAAATACGGGCTTCATAGAAAGTGTTACCAAAGATTTATTTTAATTTTACATTTAAGTTTTAATTTTTTATTTAATTTATTATTAGCTTTTCATTAAACTCGCAAACCCCAGTTTGGGAAGGTTTGACGTAATGTAATGTTTAATGCACTTCATGTTTTTAGAAAAAAAATTTTTTGTCTCTTTGTATTTTCAAATCAATATGGTACAAGATTATCCTACTTAAATCAATGTGATAAACGGGTTTTTGTCAAAAAAATTTATTGTATGTATATAAATGTATTTTTATGTTATACATTATTAGGGCTGGGTATCGTTCAAAAATTTTCGATACCGATACCTTGACTTCGATACCGGTTCCTGAACGATACTTTTTTCGATACCAATTTTATGAAATCAAGATTACATTATCTAAAAAAAAAACTTGGCTTAATTTTTTTTAGCTTGTTGATGTTTATACAAACTCAAAGACTCATCTCCTGAGCCACTGCACAAAGGAACAAAATGTAACCAACACAATAAATCAATGCAAAATAGTTTTAATAAAGCTCAAATAGTCTTCAGTTTACACATCTGTTAGGCTACATTTACACTAGTTAGTGTTCATGTTAAAACGCATCGCTCAGACAGAATCATGATTTCTATTTATTTTCCACTGATTTACTGATAAGCATTAGCAGCTTCCAGCGCTGTCTGCCTGTGTTCTCTCTTCCATGATCGCTGCTCTGACTCAGAGGTAATAACATATTTAATTTCAGCAACATTACATGGCCAAAACACACATTAGACGGCAATCGGAAGTTATTAAAAACACTCGATGGTGGTTTAAAGTGAGTTTTGAGTAAAAGCGGAATATAAATCGATTTCAAAAGTGAAACCGTAAAAACAGCGCGCATAAGCGATTGCATGCTTTCGCGAGCGTCTGCAATGGCACGCGATCACAGATTGCACGCTTCCCACCTGAATCTGGTGTAACCTGTGTAAACTAGTACGTGTGTTCGATTGAATGTATCCGCGGACCGACTGTGCAGACCGATCGGTGTATTACAGTACCTCGAGCTATAGAGAGCAGACTGCTCCGTACACTTTCGAATCGCTCTCGCGGATGTCAAACACGCATCGATCTGCGCCGCGCCGCTTCTAGTCAAGCACACCTAGTGCTGCATGCTTATTGGCCCACGGACGCTGATGAGATTAACCCCTTGGGTATCGAAATTTGGTACCGAACGACGAGATGTTTTTCGATACTCGATGGTATCGGTGCCTAAAAAGTATCAAACTCGATACCCAGCCCTATACATTATACAAAATATATATTTTTTTTTACTTAGTAATACAAACTGTATATATTTTTGATGTTAAAATTGTTTCATGTAAATTAAATTCGCATAAATGAATGCACTAGATACTACCATGATATAAAATCATTATTTATGTTTGTGTGTGTGTGCATTTTTTACACTAATGAGAATTTAGTGTAAAAATGTGCTGAGAATTTTTTTTGTCCTGAAAAGTATGCTTTATTTTTATTATGTAAAATATGTGACCCTGGAGCACAAAAGCAGTCTTAAGTCGCTGGGGTATATTTGTAGCAATAGCCAACAATACATTGTATGGGTCAAAATTATTGATTTTTCTTTTATGCCAAAAATCATTAGGTTATTATGTAAAGATCATGTTCCATGAAGATATTTTGTA